GGGGTTCTAGAGGAGCGTTATATTTAATTTATTCTTTTCAGGCATCTAACACCACCTCTCACTGCACAGCAGTCCAGACCCTACTCTGCAAGAGGGGACGTCTTACCCTGGAAACATAATATAATACTTTTCTACTGACTGGTGGTGCATCACTGAATAGACTGATTGGTTTAGAATATGTTACAATACAACTAAAATAATAGTTGGCCTTAACCTCAACAGTGCTGTGGAATGACATAATTTATGCAGCACATTCAATTGATGTCAAATAAGGGACTATAAATAATGGACATAAAATTGTAAACAGGCAGGGTCAGAAAATTAAAGCCAGCTGGTCCTGAGCATCCCAGCTCCAAAAATCCTGATGGGACTAAAGTTGAAGTTGTTTCAAAAACTTCACAGACACAGAGGCTGCATATTCTAAACCCACAAAACCCCGTGAAAACCCATCAGAGTGAGGCTGAATCTCTCTGTGGAGGAGCGTTAAGGATAACAGATCACAGCTATGTTCTTAACAGAACACAGGAATGTTCTTAACTTGCTGAGGGAGCTTCCAAGTGTTGGAGATGTTTGTTGATTTGTTTTCTGGGGCAGCAAGCTGCTTTCTTGGTGTTACAGCTGCCATCTGGGTTAAATGAACAGCAATACTCACAGGTTTCTTATTTTTAAATAATTTGTCTCTGTTGCTTAGGTCAATTTTATTCAAAAGCACGATTTGAGAAAAGTTCCAACATGAATCGGAGAGCTGACGAGAGACTCCTCAGTGGACTTCAACAAGGCTTTAGACACTGTCTCCCTTGGCATTCCCCTGGGCAAGCTCCGGAAGCACCAGCTAGACAAGCAGATGGTGAGGTGGATTGAGAACTGCCTGAATGGTGGGTCCCGGAGGGTTGTGGTCAGGGGCAGTCTAGTTGGAGACATGTAAATAGTGGTGTTCCCTAAGGCTCAATACTGGGTCCAGTCTTGTTTAAGTTATTCATCAGTGACTTGGATGAAGGGATAGAATGCCTCCTCAGCAAGTTTGTTGTTGGTACACTGGGAGGAGTGGCTGATGCCCTAGGGTGCTGTGCTGTGCTGTCCTTCAGAAGGATCTAGACAAGCTGGAAAGATGGGCAGATGGGGATAGGGGGCAGGCAGAAATCATAACCTGGGGCTATAGTTTGTGTAAGAAATGCCAAATAAAGTAAGGTTTTGCTGCCTCATTCATAAGGACAGGGGAGGGTGTTTCCTCAGCTGGATTTATCACAAGGAAAGATTTTTACACTTTAGTTGCCTTTAGCAAGTTTCTGTGGTGTGGAGGAAATCCTGTGAGTGTGCAGCTTCAGTCCCTGTGCCCCCATCATCACCACCTCTAGCACTGGGAGCAGAGATGTGCCCACTGGGCTATGTGGGCTCCTGGTACCATCTGCAATCGAAAGGTCAATTCTGGGCCTGCCCTTTGATTACTTTATCCCAAATTTTTCTTGCTTTGATTCTTTTTCAGGCAGTACAAGAACGATTACAGGCTTGAGTCAGCCAGTGAACCTGTTTCCTGCTGGTCAATAGATCTAACTCCCTAGAAAAGAGTATTCTGGGAAAGAAAACTATGCAAATGATGCTCTTCCAAATACTTTTTCTCATCAAGAAAACCACACAGTTAAAGCCTTACCTGTTACTGTATACAAATGTCACAAATCTCTTACCTTGAAATAATAATACTTTCAAGATGAGAATGTGCTTGCTTGTTATTTTAAACTGCTTTATAATACTCAATGGGAGATTATGTTGTTGAAGATTTATGTGAATGAACTGAATAAAATTAACATTATCAGCTTACAGTCTGATATGAACACATGGACTCAGGTTTCCAACTAAAAACAAGTAGTGGCATCACCCAGCCCAACAAATTGTCAAATAAATCCACAAATGTATTATGCAGACAGTAACAGATTTCCAAAATGTACATTCTTGCGGCAGTTACAAATGACAGTGCTCTTGAACTGCGTGTTTTGGAAAGTTTGGAGAGGATTAGTTTACCATTTATCTCTTTATTTTAGGGGGTAAGAGGGGAAACTCCAGTCTTGCTATATTAAGGTTCTTCTGGAGATGGGTTTGTAACAACATTGAAAGATGATGAAATGAGCAGTAGGCATGTGAGGGGGGACATGACCCGCGCTGGCTGCAGTCCCGCTCGTCATAGCAGAGTTCTGGAGCCTGTTCTACAAACACCTGCAGAGCAGGCAGGGACCTGCTGCAAAAGCAGCATTTCAAACCTGACACTAAGCAGCCTATTTTCTGGGGGGGCATGGTTTCATACGATGTTTTGCAACCACTGGAGATGTTTTACAAATAATGAACAACTGAAAACAACACGTGGTGCACCAAGGCAGCATTTGGGAGGAAATGTACGCACAGAAGCCTCTGCCCACGGGATGCAAGTTGTAGTTTTAGTCTTTAGGGGTTTGTCATAAATTTTAACTCCAGAAGTATTTTGTGTTCAGAGCTTCAGTTCCTATGCATCTTTGAACCCATAAATCTGACAGCATTGTAAGAAGGTTTAGCACAGGTTGCTTTCTATCCTGCCGATTATATGTAACTGGAAAAACTTTATTAATTTAAAGCTACTAAAAAAGAAGCAATTTCTTGCCAAAGTCAGTCAGATAAAGCAAACTATGTAACTAGAAGCCTGTTTTTTAAAAGAAACGTGTAGACAAGATACCAAGATGTATTTGCGTGACTTGCTTGTGCTTTCAAGATGCAGCTTTCAAGATGCAGATTTGGCTGGACAAATTACATGACAAAAAATGTGGAATTTGAAAACTGGAAGCACCAGATTTCTTGCTTTGCCACATCATGAACAGGTTCACCAGTTTGCAAGGCAAGAGATTATTTCTGTTATAAATGAACTTGGTGTTTAGATTACATGCTGATGATCCTGGATTTTATCAGTGGACTTACACAAATTAAAAGGTCCCTGCTTTTAGTTAAAGGGTGTCTCCATGTCAGTAGTAGGAGTAAAAGTTTTCTCTAACTAAGCATCTGTCTGCTACTTCTCTATCCCCTTATTGTAACCTGTACTTACATTTGTGGTTATCTGCTATGTTGCCAGGATCTTGGAAGAGCTACGTATTAAAAGGGGTTTTTTCTATCTTTAGTGTAAGCGGGAGTGCCTCAGCCTGCACAGAAGCAATGCAAAGCAGGCTCCAGCCCCTGAGGTCACCTTCTGGCTGACAATTCAGTCCTGGCCAACAAGGCTCCAGCCACCTCTGGAGATTTGCCTCATTCCCATGAATTAAGGAGGAAAGCTGTAGCTGAGGCTGTGCCCAGTGTTGCCGTGTGCCTGAACTTTGCTGCCAGGTAGGGCAAGATCTGCTCTCCACTGCTACAGATTTATTTCAATGGAGCAAGTGAGTACAGGGCCAGCCCTGATGGGCAGTCCCTCAGCTCCTGTCTTAGGATCCAAAATGGATCATTATTTTATTTTATTCCATCTAATTTGTTATCATAGAATCATAGAATGGTTTGAGTTGGAAAGGACCTTAAGATCATCTACTTCCAACCCCCCTGCCATGAGCAGGGACACCACACACTAAACTGTGTCACCCAAGGCTCTGTCCAACCTGGCCTTGAACACCGCCAGGGTTGGAGCATTCACAGCTTCCTTGGGCAACCTATTCCAGTGCCTCTTAGAATTATCTTAGAATAAAAATGCAGAACCATGTAAATTTAACCTCACTAGTGTCAGTTTTCTGGTCATCTCTCACTCCTTCCTGTTTCTCTTGCTGCTTTCTTCATTTTTCAGTGACTTAAAACCTTCTGTAGAAACTACAGTTTTCTTTCATCATTTTTGCCTGAATTTAGCAGGCAGAGATATCTACCCACTGTGGCACTCCCCCCTCCCTTCAAGAATAGATTTTTTTACTTCTACAAAACTTTGGCTTTTAGAGAAGGATTTTGTCCCTGAGGAAGGCCTCCCTCTCCCAGAAATTTAACAGTAAGTGTATTTTTCTTCGATTTTTTTCCTCTCTGATTTTTCTGTTGCATTGTTCACCCCTACCTCTGTTCTTTCAATTTAACCCACCACATCTTATGTCATCCCTCTTTTTCATACTAAATTCCTCTTTCCTCATGTGTGTCTGCATTCTCATTTCCCACATGCAGGCTTTCTCTCCTTGTTGTATAATAGTAGGGGAAATTTCTAGTTTGCCGTGTGAGACCACAGTTGCCTTGCTACAGCTGATCTGATTAAAAGAAAACTCAAAGTAATTAAGAAATACGCTTATTTTTTGCTTTAGAACTAGTAGCTTACAATTTCTTCCAGTACAACATGAATATATATATAAATGGGACACTTTCTGTCCTGAAATATGTGCACAGATTCAGTTATGGCAATGGAGGGAGGAATTTTACTGGAAGACTGCAATTGCCTTTCAATAAAATTTCACAAAAAAGATACTGCCCAAAAGACAGGTTCTATTCCTGAAATCTGAGTGCTGTTTGGAACTGTGGCATTTCATTAATTTATAAAGACTTGGGCATTCACAAGTTAGGTTCAAATTAAAACACTAAAATACAGGCATCCTGGATGCTAACAGTCATCTGGAGCGATGGCCCTGCACCAGCCCTCAGCACTGTGCAGTCAAGTGTCAGTTCATTTGAAGTACTAGAGAACTGTCCTGAAACAGATGCTGGCCTGTTCAGCTGTCCTCTTCTGCTGAACTTCTAAATGCATCTGCTATCCTGGGCTTTGGGAAACAGGAATGAAAACATTGATAGCCGTTGGAATAATAGGACAAGGCATTAAGTACTGATGCTTTTATTTAAATCACTCCTGACACTCAGTTACTGATTTAAAACTTGGGTAGAATGTTTCTGTTAGGTTTTACAAAGTCAAATTTTAAGTCGGGATGTTAAAACCATATTAATTTAGTAAAATGTTTTGGGGGATGAGTGATACCTGTGCACACAAGCACTTCAGATTGGATCAAATATGCACTAAAACTCTCTGTGAGAATCCATCATACATTGGCACTGCTAAACACAGTAAAGCTTGTGTATGTTTAATAGATCTTAAACATTGAAAAATACTATTATTTCAGACAAATATTCTGTATAGCCATGAATTTGGAGGAAGTTGTAGCTGTTTAAAACAGACTGGAAACAATATAGTCTGTATGAACACCATCTATCAGCCCATCTCCGTTGTTATGAACAAACCAGCATGGGATATCGACGCCGCGCTTCGGATCGATTCTATAATCCCTCTGCCAGCCCCTGAAAGGAGAAACACCGTCATGGGAGTATGGAAGCAGAAACAGCACTTTGACAAGGTAATCTTTCCTAAGTCTTTGCTAAGGACTTAATTATTGTTTACCTTGTTACTGTCAGTTCATTGTTTTTAACAATCATTGTGGCATCTGGTTTCTTGGGATCAGACCCGGGATGAATTTCAAGTATGGTGAAGTCAATGGGGTGGAAAAACTGTCCTAAAAATAGAAGCCAAAATTACCATTTCAGGCATGTTGCACACAATAAAACAGGAACAAACCAAACAGACACAATGGAATTTCTGCATTCCCGTGCTGCTTTCCATGTCCCTTCAGGGTTTTGAATGGATAAGTAAAGACCAAGTTTTGTGTAAGGTTGAACACATGCCAGAATTCTCTGTGTATCATCTGTAAATTCCAACTTCTGAGTGCACAGTAAAATCAGCCTTTTCTAGATATCCTTCATGATATCCTCACTTTGTGTCTTGTCTATTCAGTTGTATTTATTACATATTCTCCAAGTCATTAGCTTTCTTACATCAAACAGTGCATGTGTTGAGCTCTGAAACTCCTGGATGTGATTAGAATAAGGCTGACAGCTAAAGAATTTTCACACTCATGCCAGGATGAGCTTTCACACACTTTTGCCCTGTCTGGGCTGGTGCAGGATGTTGCTGGTGCTTAAGTGCTACAGTGAGCAGAGATTTTAGGTTACTTAGTGAAGTACAGGGCAAAGTCAAAGATGATGAAAATAGAGGTAAGGGCTGTAAGTCACTGAACTGTCTATAACATGGTGTACCCACATCATGTGGGCCCTGCACAATTTTCTTGTTACTCGCAATTCATATCACAGCAGAGTAATTTCTGTGTGGAGAGATCATTTATGAGGAGCATGGAGCAGGAAAGCATAAATAACATTCTATCCTTATTCTGCTCCTTTTCTGTTTTGTTACAGCATGGATCTAAGGTACTACCACTGATACACCCTGGCTCACTCTCCTTGGGCCTCAAAATGCATATCAAGACTGAGAAGAGCAGCAGTTCATAATTTTCCACAATAAGCAGACTTATTGACCCAAAATGAATGCTTGCTGCCCTTACCTCATTTTGTAAGTGAAAATTGGGAGGCAATGGAAAATGGCTGCTACCTGTGTATTTTCCAGCAGAGAATGCACACCACCAAACTCATTACACTGGCAAAAAGCAGGATTCATTGGGGTCAAAATTTTGATCCCTGTATTATCAATTTTGCCTTCTACTAGTATTAAGAATGTTATCTGACATGAGGAAAACCTTAGCCAATGCAAGACATT